GAGCAATAGTACTGACTGTTTTTCTGGATTGCCCAGATGTGCTACTGTAGATCTCCTACTTCCACTATCCCCCCAATGTTCATTCAGATATCTCAGAAGAACTCCCAAAGAAAGACTTACAGTGACAGAGTAGGGTCAGCCATCTTTCCTCCTTTTCTTCTCTAGTTCCTTTGGTGATGTTGCTTAGGAAACCTCAATCATTGTTATTGCTATTTCCTGTGATGATCTATGATGTGTCACAAAATACTGTTTTCCACCTTTATTCATGTTATGACCACCACCTCACATACTCTGTGTCTCACTTCCTGCCTTATTACTGCCAGTAGGAGATTGTCTTGCACTTCTGAAATCTTGGGTCAATTTGGTATGAAAACTACAATGTCCATGGAGTTGACCTGAAGACCAATGACAAAATTCCTATTTCTGGAGCCAGTGGTAGTCTCCAAGCACCATGTTATGTTATCTAAGTAATCATACTTCATCCTTATAATAACTTCCGAAGGTGTATTCTGTTACTATCCTCACTCTATAGTAGCAGAAAATGAGGTATCATGGAGCCAAGAAACTGCTCACACAGTCAACATTTGATAGATCTGTAATTTACTCCAAAATAACTATGCTCCTTCGAAACTTGTGTCTTTGCCTTAGTTTCCTGGGCCTGCCATTATAAAACACTGTAAGTTAAAAGAACAGAAATTTATTTTGTCACAGTTCTGGAGACTAGAAATTAAAATCAATGAATCAGCCATATCAGTTCCGTCTGGGAGCTTTGAGAAAAGGACTGTTCCATGCCTCTCTCCTGGTTTCTGGTGGCTGCCAGCAGTCCTTGGTGTTCCGTTGCTGCTTATAGACCCGTTTACCTCTGTAGTCACATGATGCCTGTCTTCCACCCGTGTGTCTCCTTCATGTTTGTTCTCCCCTTGTATAAGACAACTCAGAAGGGATTTGGACTGGAACTCACCCTGCTCCAGTGTGACTTAACTGATAATATCTTCAAAGAAAGACTTCATTTCCCCCCCAAAAAGGTCATACTCACAGGTACAAGGGCTAGGACATCAGCATATCATTTTGGGGGATACAATTAAATCCATAATGGTCTTTAAGCAATATATGAACAAAAACACCTCCTTTGTTCTTTTTATGTTCCATGTTCCGTACTGATAAGAGCTTAGTGGCCAGTGCAGCAAGCCCCAGACAATATTTGAGGGTAAGGACTGGTCTCAGGTGTGAGGCTGTGTGGCTTTATTGAGCCTCTGCTTTCCTACTTGTAAATGTTCTTCAGTGTTCTGACTTTGGGTTATGGAGTAAATGCTGGTATTTATGGGACTTCCAGAATGGTTGGCATTTATGTACAGTTCACAAATTTCTTTCCTTCTTCTTAGCTCATTCATAAGTAGCAACCTTAGAGTTATGAGGAAATTATTATTTTCTATTTTTAATGTATAAAAAAAGGCTCACAAAGACTGCTACTTGCTGTTGTGGTGGTTGTTAGGAGCCATTGAGTTGGCTCCAACTCATAGCAACCCTACGTTCAACAGAACGAAGCACTGCCCAATCCTGCACCATCCTCACAATTGTTGCTATACTTGAGCCCATTGTTGTAGCCACTCTGTCCATCCATCTCAGCACTCTTATTTACCCAGATACTTGGGGCAAGCCAGAACTTGATCTCAAATATTCAGGCTGCCAACTCTACTCTTTGGCCACTGCTGGTGGCTTTTACTTACAGCTCAAGATTTCTGGAATAAGTTCTAAGAAACAAGGGTACCCCACACACATGCACAAATATTCCTCCTTCTCTAGTTTGAAGTGTGGTCTCTTTTGGTCTATTGGATCTCTCATTACTGCACATGAAAACATTTGTTTTTGTCTTGGAAGCTGGGTGTGCTGCTGTCACTTGAGGCAACATTAAATATTAAGCTACCCAGAGGGCTTTCTTAGACTAAACAATCTATCAGGTTTCATAAAAATTGCACTAAGAATGGTGGAGAATGCTGCAGCCAGATCTTAAAATCATTATATCTGATAAATTGGTAAAAAGGAATGGAATAACACTAAAAAGTCATTGGCAGTTCCATATATATAGATATATATATATAAAGTTCAGAAAATAGAGCCCAAATCTTAATTACATCTTTTTGTAGGTGAAAATAGTCAGTCATTCACTTCTCTTGTTTCTACTAAATGCACAAATTATTTGAGTTTTGGAGAAAAATCCACCTCACCATCATTTCTGTGCCAGTTTCATTAAATTGTTAATGATTGAAAAATCACATGGCAAAAGAAATTGAATAAGAGCCTTTGTTGAAATAGCTATAAGATTGAATATGTTGTACTGCAGTGGCTTGCATGTTGCTATGACCCTGCAAGCTATGTCACCAGTATTTCAATCAGTGGCAGGGTCATTCATGATGGGTAGGTTTCAGCAGAATCTCCAGACTAAGACAAGGAAGAAAAGTCATGCAATCTTCTTTATAAAATTAGTCAATGAAAACTTTATAGATCACAAGGGAGCATGGTTTGCCTTGCTTTCTTTGACCATGTCATCAGGGGAGATCAATCAGTTGCTAGAGGAGGACAACATGTTTTGTGAAAGACAGGGGAGACACTCAGTGAGATGAATTAGCACAAGAGTTGTAACTGTGGACTCAAACATACCAGCCATATGAAGATGACACTTAGGTTGTGGTGAGGTGCCATCAAGTCAGTTTCAACTCATAGTGACCCCATGTATAACAGAATGAAACACTGCCTGGTTCTGTCCCATCTTCGCAATCATTGCCATGTGTGAGCCCATCATCATAGCCACTGTGTCAAGCCATCTCATTGAGGGTTTTTTCCCCCTTTTCGCGGACCCTCTACTTTACCAAACATGATAGCCTTGTCCAGAGATTGGTCCCTTTTGAAAACATGATCAAAGTATAAGAGACAAAGTATGGTCATTCTTGCTTCTAAGGAACATTCTAGCTGTACTTCCTCCAAGACAGGTTTGTTTGTTCTTCTAGCAGTCCATGTTCTAGTCAATAATTTTCTTCACCAAAACCACAGTTCAATTGCATCAGTTCTTCTGTGGTCTTCCTTATTGATTTCCCAGCTGCATGGGGCCAGTCAGCATTTCATTCTGTTGTGCATAGGGTTGCTATGAGTCAGGGTTGACTTGACAGCATCTATCTATCATTTATCTATCTATCTATCTATCTAAACTTAAGTAGCAAGGAGCTCCTTGTGGAAAAAACAGTGACTCTCATGCAGGTGGCGCTTACAGTTTGGAAAACCAAATTTTTGAATAAAGGAGAGCCCAGGGGAGTGACAGCTATCACTACATAAAATTAGGTATCATTTACAGTTCAATTTATCTGTGTACAAAATTATATGCCAAGTAGGGAGAAAAATTGAGAAACATTGATAGAAATTATCAAATTATTTATTCAAGGTAGCCTTTTCTTTTCCCAAAAAGAATGAAACAAGCATTGTTTATTCTGAAATACTTTATTTTCAAGTTATTTGTAAAACCATAGATAACTATATATGAAATAGAGAAGCACTGCATAATTAACACTAAACAAGGCATTGTGCCTTACAAGAAAGACATAAAATGTCGAAGGGATATTTAGAACATGGTAGTTCTTAAAGCTTCACCATGAGAAATGTTGATCACATACTATAAAATGGGTTCAATAAATAATAAATGCCTTATTCTCAAAGAAAATAGTGTACACACATATGTCCCTACCCTAACAATGATCTGATCATTTGTCTGTACCCCCTTGTCTCTATCACAGTGACTGGCATGATGTGGGATCCCCAGAAATATTAACAACTAGAAAACATTTGAAAACCTTTTATACTCCAATTCTTTAAATAAGAATCAGGACTGAACTAACTGATTTGACATAAAGTGAACAATAAAAGTAACAGTATCAAGTGTGAAAATAGATTCGGCCACATCCTTAATTATTTTACATGTCATATATGAACATAAACTCTGAAAATAAATAAATAAATAGAAGAACTGCTGTAAAAGATGCTCAAACATAAATAAGCCCAGTTCAGGTGTCCTCAGAAGCTATTTCTCTTCTTCCCCTCAGTTCCTCTATTGGCAGGGTCTGCTTCCAGCTTAGACACCAACAATCTTCCTCCTTCCCCCAAGGTCAGTTGGAACTCCCACTATAAAGAAAAAAAATGGTTGTTATCAGCAGCTGCTCAGCAGCCAGCCCAGTCCTCTTCCCTCTGCCCTGCTCCCTAGGCGCCAGAGTTTTCTAAACGTGGAGTTTTCCCCTCTCCTGGTACCACGTGGCTACTCCCTGGAACCACGGTCCTTTGTGTCAGACACCTGTATGTTCTTAGATGCTCTTTATTTGGGAATGAGGGTGCAGGCTGAGATCTCTGCTGTATTATTTGCTACCAACAGCCATAATATATTATTCTCTCATTGTCACACTGGGCCTCCTTTAAGTCTCAGACAAAGTAACTACTATTATTTTCTCTATTTTACTGAGTCTCACATCAAGTAAATTTCCCAGAAGCACTCATCTAGTAGGTGATGGAACCCACATTTGTATCAAGGCAATGTAATTGCAAAGTCCCTGCTCTTTACCACTAAACGTCAGGACCTATGTTGCAGAACCCCAAGGTTTCCACTTTGCAGATCTGAAGTTCAGAAGAAAATGAGGGGAGAGGAAAAGCCACCTTTGTTTTTAACAGGTGGAAAGCTTTTTGGCACAAATGTCCAACATCAAATGACAGTTGTAATGAAAACAGGTTTATCCACATTTATTTCAAAGAGAGTGGGGTAGGGAGTGGGGATAGAAGTTACTGGAAATAACCTTCCGGTACCAGAGCACACTAATGATCTCAATGGCAAATTTAACTGAACAAAATGATGATTTTCAGTCTTTCAGCTAATCCCTGGGTTCCTTAGACAATTTTTGGGAGTAAATGCTCCTGTGATGTGACCAGTGACACTAGTCTCATGTTATAAATACAAAACAATAACTCACTTGTTTAGCATCTTTTCGATGATTTTCTTAACCATGGGGGCTGTGGGGTTAAGACAAACTTCCTGCCCATTCTTGAGAGTGGCTCTGCAGAGAGAAGGGAAATTTGCAGTGAGGGGAGCTTTGGAGGGTGGGGTGACAGAATGGCAGGAGCAGCCGCGCGCAGCAGGACTTACATGACTTCGGTTTGGTCGCAGTGAGGTGCTGGGGCCGTCACCTTCACACTTTCAATATTCTTCAGATGGATTCCCTGCACGGTCTTCAGGCACTGACAGCGCAGTTCCGAGACCACGGGAGCCCCTGGGGGAAGAAGAGACACTCGGTTAGCTGGGTTGTTTCCCGGCGTGGACTCCCACCGGCCCCTGACAGACGCTGGAGTCCCGCCGAGGCTCACCTGTTGCGCGCCGGCCTGCGGTGACCAGGAGCAGGAGCAGCAGCGCCGCCCGGAGGACGCGGGGAACACCAGGAGTGGAGGCGGAAGCGGCGAGAGCCATGGTACTTGGCTGGGAGGATCTGGGCAGCGGTGCCTGGAGCGAAAGAGGTGGCTCAGGAAAGCTGCCTGTTGTCCGGGTTCTGAGGCTCAGAGCCCCAGGAACCCCTTTTATTCATAATGGGGGCGGGAAACCCAGGGCCAGGGAAATTCCCGGGTCTCTAGGTTTGTTCCTTGATTAAGAAAAGCAGGCTCCTGCCCCGCCTAGTGACCCACTGGCGTCACTAGGGTTAGTGTCACCCAGTGCAGTAGCTGATGGTGTCACCCCCCCATGGACCTTCTCCTTCACTAGACCATACAGGATTCTTAGTAATGCTTACTGTCAATTTTAATTGTAGAATAACACCTGATACAGTTGGTAAATTGCTTAAATGTAATACTTCTTAGATTATATGAATACTAACAACAAAATAGTTTCATAAAATCTTTCTAATTAAATTACGACAATATTAGTTACAACATTATTTGTAACTGAGTGGAACCCTCCTCTTTTTTTTTTTTTTTTTTTAACTTTTCTCCTTTTCTTTTAATTACTACATTACTACTTCATTCTCAGAAAAGTTACAGATGTAGGTTCATAAGTACTAATTGCCATAATATTATAGCTAAAACACCAGAAAAATTGACAAATTCAATGACTATAAAAACACCAGCAGCAACAGAAAACAACAGCTCCAGGCTTCTAGCTGGACTGAGGAAACCATCTGATTGGAAGCAGTCATTGTAATTAGGTAATAAAGACAGCTCTGACAAGAGGGGAGTGCACGGGAAGAATAAAAAAGTAAATTAGCATAGAGTATAATATTGTAGGGCGCTCTGGTAGCTTAGTGCCTAAGGCACTTGACTGCTAACTAGAAGGCTAGCGGTTCAAACCCACCAGCCACTCCTCGGAAGGAAGGTTGGCCTATCTACCTATGTAGTGATACTGCCTCGGAAACCCAAGGAGGGCTCGCTATGAGTTGGGTCCGACTAGAGGGCACATAACAACAACAACAACAGCAGTGTTGTAGGTATATTGATACTTGTAAGATGGGCTCACCAAAAGGTTTTTTTGTTGTTATAACTAACCACAGGGGTATTTTTATTTAAAAATATAATAAATTTCTGCTGAAACAACTGCACAAAAATTTTATACACAGTTATTGTGGTGTCATGCTCTCTGACAATGTCACTGGATGCAGTCATCACCCTTGCAGCCCCCTAGTGACGGCACTGGGAGCTAGGACACTTGCCTGCTAACCAGACGGCTGGCAGTTCAAACCCACCAGCCACTCCTCAGAAGGCAGGTTGGGCAATCCTACTTCCGTAGTGATACTGCCTCGGAAACCCAAGGAGGGGTCGCTATGAGTCGGGTCCGACTAAACGGCACATAACAACAACAACAACAACAAGTGACGGCACTAGGGCACTCACCAGGTCATGCCCTGCCCCACCCTCCTGGTGACTACTTCAGACTCTGGGATAATCTTTCTTCCCCAAACCCTCAAAACGTTAGAGGGTCTCAGGCTGCATTGCTTTTGCTGAGGGTTCATGGACACCAAATATGTCCTGTGAGCTGGAAGGCAAGGGGGGTAAAACGCTGGGTGTGGGAAGCAGGCTGGTGAGACTCATGAGGGGGACAGAGCAAAATCTATAGAGGGAAAGAGAGCTGTGTCTCTTTAATGGTCAGAACTGGGAGGAATTAGGCAGTGATGTTGGTTGGGGAGACAGGTGATTTTGCTTATCTCTCTTCTATTTGTAAATCATCTATCTCATCTATCTCATTTGATTTTTGGCTTTCTATATTTCATCTATGTCTGAAATGAATATTCTTTGTCAAAAGTAGCACTGTCTTCTTGGATTCCAGGGAAGAATGCTTGGGTTGTTCCTTCAGTTGTATATCCTCAAATCACTTATAATGTCTTTTTTTTTCCTTTTGGTGGAAAGATGGATCAGTGTGAAAAGTTGAATCCAGTGTTAATTGCAAAATAAGAGCAGTAACATAATCTCTTCTTTCATTTCCTGCATATCTTCTTTCTTCTCCTTGACATGTTGGAACTTCCAAAATTCCCTGAGTATCACCTTTTCCATATAGGAGGAGTTTAGATTTGATCTATGAAGTACCAGTGGGTGGTCACTCTGAAGATGCAGAGGGCTCATTAGCTGGTTCTGTCCTTGGACAGACTAGTACATAGACAATAGGTGAATACCTGATGTGTGTAGCACCTGTACTCTTTATGCAGCAAATGGAAGAGTGTGGATGAAATATACAACACCAAATCACACATAATAGAACACATTCCATTTATTGCAGGACGTTTTTGTGTTCAGTGTTGGAGACAATGGTATGCCTCTGTCTTTTCATGAGGGATTTCAAAGTCTTTTTTTAGCCTGACATCTTTACTACTTTTTCACCAAAAATTTCAGAGAACTTTGATCCAGCAGTATGCTTAGAGGGTGTATGTTTAATATTCTAGGTGGATTAAGACCTCTGAGAGGCATGGGGTATGCTAGTAAGAGAGAGAGCAGAGAGGAATGGTGCTGCCCTAGGGCCAGTGTCCAAGTGGCTCTAGGCAGCCCAGCTTAGCAGGCAAGGGTGTGTGCATTTAAGCCAGGGGTCCAACATTGCAGTCTTCTTTCAGTTGCCGCTATCACAGGCAAGTTGTTAAACCACTTCCTATCCCAAGTTTCTAAGGAGAAATGAGTCAACATTGTAAAAAGCCAGGATTAAACATCTTACGAATGTTTCTTAAATAAATAAGATAGGAATAATTTTCCCCACTATTGCCTAACAGAAATTCAACTTGTTACGAATCCTTTCATGAAGAAAGAAAAAAAAAATCATTGGAAAGGTTCATGCTCCCATTTTTTTTTATTTCACATTTAAATTTTCTGTATTAGGCTTTCTAAAAGGAAAGCACATCTGTACTCTACTAGGAAATCTGAAGTTAAGAATATTTGATAATTGTTGGAATCTATCATTGATTTATTTCATAGTTTTAATGCCAATTACTCCATCTATAAAAAGGGAATTAGAAGTAAAGACTCTCCATATTGTTTATTGGAGATTTACAAAATGATTGACTTTAAAAATACTTCAGTTTTTATCAGCATAACCCTAAGAAAACAGCCAGAGACGTTACAGCTTTGGGGGTCACTATGAGTCAGAATCAACTCAATGGCAGTGAGTTTGGTTTGAGAATTTGGTTAGCAGCCTGATGCTTTAATCACAGCACCACAGAGTTAGCGCCTGAATAATTGAGAATATGTATGATTACTCCTTTTACGGCTCTTTTTCTGGGGTTGCTGGTCAACTAACTCAGAAAAACAAAAGCTATTCTTCAAAGTATAAAAAATGCATTGTTTTGCTTTTTAATTGTAAATCTAACCCGTGCTCATTTTATAATTTATACAAGTCAGAAAAGCATGAAGAGATACTTTTTATGCTCTCTTAACTTTTTCCTATGGAAAAAATTTTGGCAGGTCACCAAAACTATGCTTTTTTCTTTAACAAATACAGTAGCTGATAATTTATTTGAGGTACATGATTCTGGATGAAGGTGAAAGATGCCATTTCCTTTGTTTACTTGCCACATAGGGTGTGCAAGTTACTAAACTTCTCTGCATCCACTCAAAGGTGCAGATCATTAATTTTGTGCAAGTTCCAGGTGCTTTTCTAAATATTTTACAAATACTGCTGCATTCAATCTTCAAAAGAATCCTGTGGGGTAGATATTTTAGGCTGTAGAAGTTGGTAAAAACTTTCAGATTTTTGCCTTTTGTGGTTTAGGTTTAGGCTGTAGAAGTTGGTAAAAACTTTCAAAAATTGCCTTTTGTGGTTAGTGCATGTATTTGAATGTATTAACTGGTCTTCCTTGTAGGTATATGAACATTATCCTATCACTGACAGCATTGTACTTCAGGATAGATCTTGAAATATTCTTTTTGATGATGCATGTGATGGCTTTCCTCTTTCATTTGTCATTCACAGCATAGTAGACCATATGATTTTCTGATTCAAAATGACTAATGCCATTCCATTTTAGCTCACTAATATCTAGGATATGTCTTACATTTCACTTTTTACAACTTCGAGTTTTCCTAGTTTCATGCCTCATACATTCCTCATTCCAATTATTAATGGATGTTTGCAGCTATTCCTTCTCATTTTGAATTGTGCCACATTAGCAAATAAATGTCTGTGTTGTTGTTATGTGCCATCGAGTCGGACCTGACTCATAGTGACCCCTCCTTGGGTTTCCGAGGCAGTATCACTACAGAAGTAGATTGCCCCATCTTCCTTCTGAGAAGTGGCTGGTGGGTTTGAACCGCCAGCCTTCTGGTTAGCAGTCAAGTGCCTTAGGCATCTACGCTACCAGAACTGAATGAATGTCTAGAAAGCATTTATCAAGAGAATAGTGGTTTTTAAAATTCTGTCATTCACCTAGTTGCATGGTTCAAATTTATTTATTTTAAAATGCAAACACATCATAAGGCTCATACATCCTCATGTTTTGTTTCACTAACAGTAAAACTTTCTCTTGTGGCATTCATATGGCTTTTGTAGTGTCCAAATCTGAAAATTGGTTGACAATTGGTCACCACTGAACCATTTCAAGAGGTAGCATATGACCAAGAATGAAGGGTAATTACCAATGGTAATTCATTTTTGCTGAAGGAATTGGCCAAAAACAAGACTCTAGGAATTGACTGAATGTGCATTGAGATGTTTTAATGAATGGATGCAATGCTGGAGGCACTTTATCCAAAAAAATATGGAAGACAGCTACCTGACTAACTGACTAGAAGAGATTGATATTTGTGTCAATTCTAAGGAAAGGTGATCCAACAAAATGTGGATAGTATCTCACAATATCATTAATATCCTGTTGTGGTTGTTGTTGTTAGGTGCCATGGAATTGCCTTCGACTCATAGCGACCCTATGCACAGTAGAATGAAACACCGGCCGATTCTTCACCAGCTTTGTAATCCCTGCTATACTTAAGCCCATTGCTGCAGCTACT